ATGCATTGAAACATCTAAAGGTGGGCACGTGGGAGTTGAGAAGGAAGAAAAGCTGAGACAAGCCAGGGATGCAGGCCTACACCTAAGAGCCCATGGCGGGGCTCAGCCTGGAGAGGGGAGGATTCAGACTGTGGCTGCACTCCCTTCAGCCAGAGGAGCAAAGAGATTCAGTGGACATTTCTGTAGGAGGTGGGCAGTCTGACCTGAAGCTGAGCCCAGAGACCTGGGCAAGGAAGGACACAGCCCAGAGGTGCAGCCGCAGTTGTCAGGCAGGCGAATTTCAAACAAAGAAAAAAGCCACAGAGCCTGGCCACCCTGTGGCCCTCCAGAGATTACCCTTATTCACCCTGGTGTCAGGCTGCTGAGAGCACATTATCCGCGCACCTGAGAACTGGTTCTACAAAATCACTTTTTCCCCTGAGCAATGGGGCCTTCAATCAGGGCGTAGGGGGAAGTCAGCAGTGATCCAAAGTCCCTATTACCATAAGGCCAAAACAACAAAAAAGCCATCCAGGTTCCTCCAGCCCACCCCACACATCTTTGCTACACTGATGGCAGCATTGGGCTGTGAGGGAGAGCATGGAGATTTCACAGATTTAAAGCCCCATTGCCCACCGCATTTCCCTACAAGGTTGGTCCCCTGAAATTGTCATGGCCAGAACACAGGAGAGAAACTGCCTACCAAGGGAACACAACCAAGCAAAGATCTGAGAAGCCAAAAAAGTGTAAGAGTTAAAAACTTGTGATTCAGTGCCACCTACTGGAAAATAATATGATGACCTTTTCATATTAATCTGCTAGGAAACTGCCTCTCATATATAGATACCTAGACAGGGAGGAATTCATCAAATACCACAAATAACCAAGACAGCAAGGCAACTCAGAAAAAAAATGAGAAATCTTAGAAAATACTGTTTTCTCTCCCTAATTCATGGGGTACGTGCAAAACAATTTTTTCACTCATATACCTGCTTGGCTCTGAGGGAACAGGATAAGGTTCATCTGGTCTATACCCTGGCCCTCCCAACAAGCTCTCACCTGGCCCCTGGCCCCTGGCCCTGTCACCTCACTATTCTGGGCTCCCTGCCAGGTAACAAGCCCATCCAGAGTCCCGAAGATAGTCAGTGGTGCAGCCAACATGTGAACTCAAGGCAAGGGCAAAGCCTGCTCTCCTACCTTTACCTGGTATGATAAAGGAACGGAAGAAAAGAGCTCTTCACCAGATTGAAGTATCCTCCTCCCAGCCCCTCAGCATTCTTCTTTGTTGTTTCAAATTATCTTCTCCCTGTCTCTGCTTGAAATATTTGCTCCTTGGTTCAGAGCCCTAATTACAGAACACAGAGTCTTTGCTCATACAGCTATTACTGAATTCAAGGAGTTTGCCACTCAAGGTGCTCTATTCAAGAACAAGATGTGGTTGTCACAAAATAGTTTTATTTACTTGCAACACATAAAGGAGAGAGGGGATTGATATCATCCAAAGCTCTGTCTCCTGAAGGGAGGCCTGGCCTTTAAAAATTAGCAAGAATAACATGTAGTAAGAACTGCCCAGGCATTGAAACCTTAGTCCTACCTAACAATGTCCCCCTGAGATTTTTCACTCCTTGTCCTTGAGGGAATGGGGACAAGGGTCATACTTTTGTAACTGCTTCCTGCTGAACATGGATGAAGTGAGCGCCTCTTTGAGTTGAAGGAGTGAAAATCTCTGGCTGCCTGACTTATGAAAGTCTTGGGGTCCCCTAGCTTCTGGGTTTCCTGAGAACAGGAGTGTATAAAAAGAGCACTACTTGCCCTGGCTTGTTTTGGCTCAGTGGATAGAGCGTCGGCCTGCGGACTGATGGGTCCCAGGTTCCATTCTGGTCAAGGGCACATGCTCGGGTTGTGGGCTCGATCCTAGTAGGCGGCATGCATGAGGCAGCCAATCAATGATTCTCATCATTGATGTTTCTATCTCTCTCTCTCTCTCTCCCTTCCTCTGAAATCAATAAAAATATATTTTTAAAAAAGAGAGAGAGAGCACTACCCTAACAGGAGACATGTGCCATCGGAGATGAGGCAGAAGCAGGGGGAAAGACAAGGAGACTGAGACCCTGCCACTCATAAACTCACACTCTGGTGGGGAATCTAATGAGTAAGGTGGACCAGAGTGACAGCCTCCCTAAGAACAAAGATGGCAGCAAGGGAGAGAAGAGGGAAGGTGCTGTCGTATTTGAATCATCTTCCATATGATTCAGGACACCAAGCCATGATTTTTGTTCAGGAATCACTTATTGAGCTGGTGGGTCTATCCAGGACTTTGAAGGACAGGTAGGATCTGGGCAGGAAGTGACTCTGCAGAGAGGGGGAGCCCTGTGGATGACAGTTCTACACAATATCGAGCCAGTGTCCATGGTTTCTCAAGCACAATGAAGAGCTAAACCTTGGCCTGGGGAGGGAGAACAGCTTGGGAGGAAGTCCTGACATCGCCCTCTGCATCCATTCTCATGGAGGCACCACAACCCCCCGCCCCCACTAATCCCCCGTGATGGCAGGAGGCACTCCCAGGGAATATAAGCTCTGTGTTTGATGTGTGTGTGTGTGTGTGTGTGTGTGTGTGTGTGTGTGTGTGTGTGTGTTTGGTGTGTGTGTGTAGAAAGAGGATGTGTGTAGAAAGAGGATAAGGCCAAAAATGAGGCCACACTGATCTGGCCCCAACACAAGGCCCTCTATGATCAGACATCCTATTAGGCCTCATCCCCCAGTTAGCCAGCTGCACAGCTGCAGCTCGGAGAATAAAACCCTTCTAAAAATCAGGATACAGGGAAACACCACCGGTCACTCTCTACCTCTTTGTCCTCCAAACTCACTGCCCAGTAGGCATTGGGATGAGCCTTGAGATGAGGTCTGCATAACCCACAGTTCCTATCATTCACAGGCTGCCTCCTCCACCTCTTGTCCCCAGTTTGGAAACATCAGGAGCTCAAGACTGAAAGTGGAGAAAAGAAACAGCTGTGGGCACAGGTTGTAATCAAACAGGAGAAGAAGGTAAGAGAGTCGATGATGCCAGGAGGGGCTGCTCACATGAGGCACTGCCTGCCTCACTTCTTCCCTCCAGGCCAGATACCCACACTAGCAGAGTCACCCCCTACTACAGTTACAGATCCCAGCTCCTCTCAGCCTCTGGCTTCTGGACTCTGAGAGAAGATGGGCTGAGGAGGCATCCCAAGGCTGCCCCCCCTTCCTGGTCCCAGGCTGGAGGGACCATGAGAGGTAGAGGACAGCCCAGCATGCCTGGTTTACCAGACTGGCTCACATGCCAGAATTCAGACCCATTATGCTAAAAAGGTTCTGTGTGCTATGGCCTCCCTGCACCTGTCTCCCTTCCAACTCACACCTCAGCAGTGCAGTATTCCGTTCCTAAACGTCCGTAGCTGCCTCAGCCTTCGACAAACACTGGGCTGCTCCATCTTGCTGCTTCCACAGCAGGGCAAGTGCCCAGGTCAGCCAATTCCACTGACCGCAGACTGCCAAAGCCATAGGGCTGAACAGGGGTCACTCCCCAGCGATGGGACACAGTTTAGAAGCACCTCATCCTGCCTGTGGATGCAGAGAGCAAGTTCTCTCACCTCAACCTGCCCCACCCCAGCCACCCCATAGCTTTGAAGCGGGGGAGCTAATGGGCTGCTGCTCAGAAAAGAAGCTGAGGTCTCATGAGCCTTCTGGACTTGCCTGGGCTCTGACAGGGAATGCATGACTGTGCACTTGCCCAGAGTCAGTGATCTCAAAACCATCCTGCAAATGAATGGACATGAAACCAGTAAATTACTTCTTAAGACCACTCTAAAATCTTACCAAAAACAATTCATTTCCCTGTGTCATTTCCACCTTCCTCCCACACCTTGTCACTAGGAAGCCCAATCTTTTGGCTTTTATTACTCAAAATACATGCATGTGGTTGGTTCTACCTGCTTCATTTTGCAAGTCCAGTACATTTACATATAAGACAAATAAGGTCACACAAAGAACAAAATCCAACTTCTGCAGGACAATCAGACAACCGGACCAGAGACTGTCACCTGAGAATGTCTTGGACTGCTCCACAGGCATCCCTTGACTCCCCAGAGTTAGACCTAGGATTGGGCTCTGAATCTGTCTTCTCAGAGACAGTTCCTGCCCAACCAACCAGAAACCAAACACGAACCAAAAATGAAATTAACTCTCCAACAACCCTATACCCAAAATGAGATATGCTAATTAAAGCAGCCACTAGGGCTGACCTACCCACCTCCCTTCTACTAGTAAAGTGTTGAATGAAACAGGTTCAGGTGGCCACTCGGCTTCCCTGCAAGGCAGGCCAGGAAGCCCTTTTGGTGGTCAGCACCACGTGGGAGTCTCCCACAGAAGGTCCTCGGTCCAGCAGAGACCCAGGCACCTGCCAGCTGCTTCGCCAAGCATCCACACCAGGTGGAGAGGGAGTCCTTTTAAGAGGCCCATCTGAAGTCACCAAATTTGTTACCGAACTCAGGTTCACCTCCTGGGATGCTCTGTTCAAGATCGAGCCACGGTTGTCGCAAGGTAGTTTTATTTACTTGCAGAAATAAAGGAGACAGGGGATTCGTATCCAAAGCTCTATCTCCCAAAGGGAGGCTTAGCCTTTTAAATTTAGCGGGAATAACATTTAGTAAAAACTGCCCAGACCTTGAGACCCTTGTCCTATCTAACACAGCACTCAACACATAACCCCTAAATACCCAAGGCTTTATCAATCAACTTCTCCCCAACACTTTGTTCCCTTCCACCGTGCCCTGCAAGAACCTTATATTCCTCAGCAGACAGCTTCACCAGGTTGTCCATTCCCCCTGGCTCTAGTCTGAGAACAAGTCCCCACCTCTGGCAGCGGCCTGGCTTCCCCCAGAACTACATTTCCCACAGTGCTCTGAAAAAGTTAGCCGCGGAGGCCCAGGGCCTGGAGGGCTGGTTGACGCAGAGCCTCCTGGGAGTTGTAGTCTGGTTTGTTCGCAGGCGCGCTGCTGCGGACCGGCGCTGGCCTTTGTCTGTCCGTGGGCTTGCACGGCTGTGGTGAGTGAGGCTGCTGGCAGGTCAGGGCACCCAGGTGAGCCAGGGCCACGCTGGCAGGCGGCCCCCGGGGCCCCCTGCTGCCCCCACGACCCTGAACAGGGCAAGCCTGCCCCGCTGCAAAGGAGGCCAGCCGCAAGGGGAGAAGTCTGCGGCTGCAGGAAGCGTCCAGCTGGACCGGAGGTGGGGTTGAGGGCCGGCACGCAAGGCATGCATGGGGGTGCTGAGGAGGGAGGGAGAGTCAGCCCCTAGGAGCAGGGGTCCCTCTGACCACCGCTGTGCAGGGCAGGGCGTGTGGAAGGCCCCTCATCCCGGAGTCGCGGGAGGGGGCGGTCATAGACAGGTGTACCTTGGGCCTGCGTGAGGGTTCGGATGGACAGGAAATTTGCAGACTCTCTAGGGAGGGTCAATGGGAGACAGGACTAAGTGGACTCAGTCGTGTGGAGAAAATAATCACCCCACCCAGAATCTCTAATGCTGAAACTATGCCCCAGGAGGTCCCAGAGACAGCAGTCACCCCCTCCTCTCACCCTCTCCTTGAGGGCTGTCAACTTCAGGCCTTAAATCACAGGTATTGTCACATTCGGTTCTTTTATTCTCCCAGGAATTACCTGATAGGAAACTGTTAGTAACCTATTTAATAAGTGAGGAAATAGAGGTAGGATTGTTTGGTTATTTGCCCAAGGTCACAAGGGGGAGTGGGGAGCCAAGGCAGAAATCCAAGTCTCTCATGGCCCAATTCTGAACTTTCCCAAAGGGTAAATAGCCATTCTGCTTGGAAAGGCAATATTTTCTATGACAAAGCCACTTTCTCCAAATTCTGCAGTAAATTAATTCCTCAGACATGTGATGTAGGGGAAAAAATAAGAGTATTCCTTTATTAATCAAGGAAGTTCCTGAGATGCAGCTGAGTTTATTACTTGTTGAAGAGCTCACAGTCTGTGAAGAGGCAGAGCTGTAAGTTCTACCCACTTGTTCCGACCAAACTCTGTGCTGGATTCCGCAGGGACAGAGTCCAACCTCAGGCAGCAGGTGCCAGGTGCTTTCCACTGACTCTTGGTGAATGTGCAGTTGTTGAGCAGTGACACCTGGGACTTCCAAGTTAATGTCCTGTACTATCCTGACACTCTGATCGGACAGGAAACTTGCAGCTTGTATTCCCAGTTGGAGGTGAGTCCTCCAAGTAAGAGTTTGAAATGCCTCTTCAGTCACCATAACAAGTAGCAGAATGTGCAGTTGACAAGAAGACCACGTGCTTCAGTTAACAAAGCAAAGAACTGCAGCATCACGCTTCCATTTCATTAAATCGGATGGCCAGCAATTTGATGAGACATATTGGAGGGAAACAAAAATTATACACCAGAACCACTGTATAAAGTGTAAGAATGTGGCAATCAGGATCCTGGTAAGAAGAGAATATTCCAAAGCGAAAAAAATAGAAAAAGATAACATGGGGGAAGAGAATTCCTAGGATCTAGATGAGTAGTAAAGTCTGGCCAAGCCCTGTTCCATTCTGTTCCATGTGATAAAAATTCCCACCAGCTCTTTAATGATGAGGAACTAGAGAATTGTCTAAAGGCATAGGCTTTGTATACTGAAAATCTTGGATTTGAATCTTTCTTCAACCTTGACTCCTTACTGGCTCTGAGAATTTGGGCAAGTTACTCACCCTAGTTGGAATGCCTTGGGCTAGGTTTTGGAATCCAAAGTAGGTCTTCCTTGTCCAAGTACTGACAAGTACGTACACTTCCCTCATATCTTGAAGAGTAGGAGAGGGGAAGGTCTGGATCTGGAGCCTCCTAAGAATTGTTTAAAGGTAACATATGAAATATCGTATTCTGTCCTTATAACTTAGGGGGAACTGGAGAGGAGGACCACAGCCATTTCTATTGTAGAACCAATCATGAAGTCTAAATATTGAGTTTTTTATATTCTGGAGGCTATCCAAATAGCAGATGGTTAGATAGGGGAAGAAATTAGAAGATTATAATCACATACCAAGGCGAAGGAACAAACAGGAGTGCCCATTATCTTAGAATTGGCAGGAGGAGAGAGATATGTGTGTACATGTTCTCTCCTTTTCCACCTGCTTCCCCCTGGGCTCATTTGTGTGTGGTTGTGGTACCTTTAAGGCCATTTTGCTGTTACATTATAAGTGACTAACATTACATCAGTCCATCCAGAGTCTTCCATTTACTCGTACCCCAAACAAGCTCCTGACTTTAATCTTTTCACTCATCAATTCTCCTGCCCTCTCCTGTTTTTGTTATATTTTGTTTTTGTTTGTTCTTCGATGTTTTCTCCCTCAGGTGCTCAAGAACAGCCTATGGAAGCAGCATATGAAGAGGTGGTGATTAAGGTCATACAGCAGGAGTGGACATGTTTGGATTTCCAACAGCTACCCTGCTGGACTGTCATGACGATATGCCCAGAATGTAGCATTCTTCAGTGAGTGAGTCAGTTGATCACTGGGATGCCCTCAGCTCCCCATATGGAGTGTCCTTGTCCTTAGCACTGGTTGGCAGGCTAGGACGCAGAGGAGACATTCCTGGGTGGAGCTCACCATTTCTGGGGGTTATAGGAAAAGCCTGCAAGTTCGAGTTAGAAATACAGTAGAAACAGCAGAAACAATCCTGATATGGAGATAAACTTGAGGTAGTTTCTCAGAAAATGAATGAGCAGCTTTAAATCTCAGTGCAGTCACTGAGTAAGGAAGGGTAAGGCAGAGGAACAATGAGAAAAAGCTCCCTAGGACAGCGATTCTCAACCTGTGGGTCGCGACCCCTTTGGCGGTCAAACGACCCTTTCACAGGGGTCGCCTAAGACCATCCTGCATATCAGATATTTACATTACGATTCATAACAGTAGCAACATTACAGTTATGAAGTAGCAACAAAAATAATTTTATGGTTGGGTCACAACATGAGGAACTGTATTTAAAGGGCCAGAAGGTTGAGAACCACTGCCCTAGGATGACTCCAAGGGAAACTGTTAATCCAGGGTAGTGATAAATTGGACCCATATTTAAAGGGCAGTAGAAGACTCAGATACAGGGCAATATTGGAAAATACTGTCAACAGCTGCATAGGAAGTGTTTGAGAATAACTTCTAAACCAAAATTGATTTCAATTCCACCATAGCTGAGTAGACTGAAGTAGCATGAATTTTAAAGGGAAAAATTCCTTGGATCAAATACTGTAGTTGTTCTGGCTCAAGCTGGAGTATCGACAAATTATTTAACTTCATTGAACTGCAGGGTCTTCATCTATGAAACAGGACAACAGGCTCTACCCTGCCTGCCGAGTTGCAAGGATTAGAGACAATAAGTGTAAAGTACCAAGGATTCTGCCCTGCCGGTGTAGTTCAAAGGTTGAGCATAGAGCCAGGAACCAAGAGGCTTCCAGTTCAATTCCCCATCAGGGCACATGCTTGGGTTGTGGGCTCGATCCCCTGTGGGGGCGGGGGGTGCAGGGGGCGGCCGATTGATGACGATGTTTCTCTCTCATACAGGTTTCTCTCTCTATCCCTCTCCCTTCTTCTCTCTCTCTCTCTCTCTCTCTCTCTCTCTCAAAAATCAATAAATATATATATTTTTTAAGTACCAAGTATTCTACTACATATTTTCTGAGGTCATGGAGTTTACTCCACTGTCAGGAAAGCAGACTAGTGCAGAAGTGGATTTTTCATGAAAGCTAATGAAATCTAAGTTTCAGGATTCCTCTCTTGCATGGTCTCTTCAAGGCCCTGTTCCCACTTTTGTACTTTTTCCTAATGAAGTGCCTCCAAAATTTTAAAGCTTTAGGCCCTGCCCAACCTGGATCCTCACCTGTTTAAAGTCAGATAAAATTTGGATATGGGGCTCTATATGATCCTGTATCACAAGATTATTTGGGAGGCTAAATTAAACAAAATACAGAGGCAGTGGAGTATGCCTGTGTTTGAATCTCAGCTGTATGCTAACCTAAATGCATAATCTTTGACAACCTCTCTATGCTTTCATACCCTTGTCTGTAGCATCTCACAGGATTGTTTTCAGTGTTAAATTATCTATGCAAAGTTCACTGTGTAATGTCTGGCACGTAATAAGCACTCAACAAAGCATTGTTTCTTTCTTCCCTATTCTTCTCACTCAGCATATTAGTGCATCTTACCTGGCTTCCCTCTCATTTTACCAGATGTGATGACAGAAGCCCACCACAAATATGATCACACTGAGGCCACAGGATCCTCAAGCTGGGACTTCCAGAATTCTTTGAGAAGAGAGAAGCTGGAACAAAAATCCCCAGATTTTAAGGCACTACAGGAAGATTCACCTGGTGTGAGACAGAGGGTCTATGAGTGCCAGGAATGTGGGAAATCCTTCAGGCAAAAGGGTAGCCTAACGTTACATGAGAGAATCCACACTGGTCAAAAGCCCTTTGAGTGTACCCATTGTGGAAAAAGCTTCAGGGCCAAAGGCAATCTTGTTACACATCAGCGAATACACACAGGAGAGAAGCCTTATCAGTGCAAGGAGTGTGGAAAAAGTTTTAGTCAACGAGGTAGTCTGGCTGTTCATGAAAGACTCCACACTGGACAGAAACCCTACGAGTGTGCAATTTGTCAGAGAAGTTTCAGGAATCAGAGTAACCTTGCTGTTCATAGAAGAGTTCACAGTGGTGAGAAGCCCTATAGATGTGATCAGTGTGGAAAAGCCTTCAGTCAGAAAGGAAGCTTAATTGTCCACATCAGGGTCCACACAGGCCTGAAACCATATGCCTGTGTACAGTGCAGAAAGAGTTTCCATACCAGAGGAAATTGCATCCTGCATGGCAAAATCCACACAGGAGAGACACCGTATCTATGTGGCCAATGTGGGAAAAGCTTCACTCAGAGAGGGAGTCTGGCTGTGCACCAGCGAAGCTGCTCACAAAGACTCACCCTTTGACCACATTCTTCAACAGGAATTCTCTTTATTAATTAACTACAAAATCTTCTGAGATCAAGCCACCTACCCAATTCTATGGAGTGAATGGAGACTCTTTCAGAAAGACTATCATTAGGTAGGGCAAACTGACTTTTCCCATTTCTTCCAAATAAGTATGAAAAATAAATGTCTTGTTTATTATCATTATCATGTTTGTTTCATAGTTTCTGTCAGTTTATTTTGACCTAATTTCCCAAGGTACTTCCATTAATGTAGTGCACACTTGGAGATTGTTCTGTGTGTGGCAGATACAAATTTCAAGTTTTTAGTTGATACTATCAGCCTTTAAATAAATAAATAAATAGCCTTTGTCAATCCCAAGGTTCTTTTCTTCCCTGTATATTCAAATTAATCTTGTTTTGCATTTAAGACTACTGGGCAGAAATCATGAGGCAAATCTAACTACTTTAATAATACTCTTATCGAACACTGTATTAACTGGGTGATACCCTTTCTCAAAAACCAAGTCTGATCACCCATGTCCACAGCAGAAGCCCTAACCTTTCCTTAAAAAAGAAGGTTCCTTTCTCCCCCTGCAAATATTTGAAGTCTGTGTACTGATTCACTTCAATCCTCTAGGGCTAACAAAGATAGAAATAATTTGCTTATACCCAAAGAGCAGAAAACTGAAATTTTTTGAGGATCTTAAGACTATTATCATGCCCTCTATTAAAATGACTCCTCCCTAGGAGACACAATGCCATCCACTCCCTTTTTGACACACATAGCCTGGGAGGTGCAGAGGAAGTGCTGGAAGGCACCATTATTCCTTTGTGGAGAGCTCCCCACATCCACCTGCAGGTGAAGGCAGGCACCAAATCTGCATCTCCATCAACCTAGTTAACACTGGTGATTTGCAGACACTGCCCCACCCAAATCACATACAAGCCTGAACCAACTTCAGCGGCTTTTCCACACGAGCAGCCAGCCTTGCCCCAGGCTGCAGACATTCCTACAATCTCCCCCAAATCCACAAAGCCCGACAAGCAACAGTTGGCCTCAGCACGCCCAGGGCCTCTTGCTAAGCAGCCCCGAGTCCGGCACAGACGGGAGCCAGCATCAGATCATAGCACAGCCTCTCCCAGTACTTCCAAGCCCAGCACAGGCAGCAACCAACCACAAATCACTGTTTGGAATTCTCTGCTATTCTTTGGACGGCCTCTTATTCTGAAAAAGTAACTTTGCTTTCTAGCCTGCTTGAATAATGGGGGAGATAAACTTAGCTATCTGACCTTGTAGGCCAGAGACTTAGATACACCCAATGCCATGCCAGGTGCATTTTTTAATTGGATAGAACTGTATAGTTTTCAAGGCCACCGCCAGCAAGCACACAAAGGGCTGGCTCTTCTATAAAAAGGGAAGTTCTGCTTGTAGCTTTGCTTAGAATTTGGATTCATTTCCCTAGGCCCGCCGCGGTGAATAAAGTATAACTCCAAACTCTGAGCGCTGTTTGGTTCTTGTCCGGTTTTCCTGTAACACTTCCAAGCCCAGCACAGGCAGCAACCAACCACAAATCACTTTACAGCTCCTACCAGGAGGTCCCTGGCCAGGAAAAGCAGCAGCTGGACTTAGCCTGCACCAGAGCCCCACCAAAAGTCCCCAGCTTAGCAAACCAGGCTGGCAGGGAGCAGAACAGACCATCAAGGAGCAGAGTATAGCTGCCCAGTCACAGAAGGGCCTGGTTCCAGAGCCACCTGGCCCCAGGGATGCTGCACAGCCCCGGTGTTTTCACAGTTGTGCTTTATCACAATTGAGCTGTTTTGCACTGAATAGTTTCTTTCCTCATGCACCCCAAGTTGGGGAATCCGGAATCCAGTTGGCATTGAATTGGCACCAACGACCATCATATGAATAGGTCAAAATTTAAAACAGGGACTTCTGGTTTCAGCCAAATGGAATAGCCCCATTTCTCCCAAGTCCTCCCTCCTATAACTAAAAAATCCTGGAAAGACTTGTGACTGCTGAATGGCACATGACTGACTCCTTCATTTCCTCAAAGTCTTGGCTCCAAAAGTTCCTATTTAAAATTGCACTACCATCCCTCAATCCCTGACTCAGCTCTACTTTCTCCATAACACATGTCACCTTATAACACACTATACCACTTCTTTATCAAAATTACGTATTGCTTGTTTCTTCCACTATTTAACATCCAGAGTGATTTTTCTTTAAGCGTCTTTAACAGTTCCTAGAACACAGTGAGGCCTCAAATGTTTGCTAAACTAATGAACTTCAAGAGGCAGATGAAGATGCCGAATGGCATTTATTCGGTTCAGAATATCTTTACAGGTAAAGACGAAATTACGGGTGATATTTACGTTCTTTTCCCCCAGGAGCACATTAACAAAATGTGAAAAACACTTTAATGGGCATTTCTAAAATAATTCTTACCCGTTTGTAATTTAAAAATAATAATAACGTAAATGAACTCTCAAAGAACAGTTAAAACAGTCCGCTGGAAGCAGGAACCCAGGCACCTCCACGCAGTGCCCGGGAAGCCGGGGGAGCAGGGGACGGGCACCGGAAGTGTACACCGGAAGTGTCCGTGGCCCGCCCGCGGCTTTCTGGGACTTGTAGTTCAGAGCCCCCGCGGGCGGAGACGCCGCTTCCAGTCACTGGATTCACGTGGGAGGTGAGCGGCGGGTGGCAGCTGGCAGCTGGCACCTCCCGCAGAGAAGCGGCGGGCCGTGGGGCGCGGGAGGCACGCGGAGAGGCTGGCTGTTGGGGGAGGGCGCGGGACCCGGGAGGTGCGGTCCGCGCGCACCAGCGACTGGGCGCTGCGACGCCGCTGCGGCTCCGAGGGGCCCTGCTCTCGCCTGCGCTCCTGGGGGCTTCGTGGTTGGCCTTTTCTGCCGGGTGACTGGCCTCTTTCAAGGAGGTTTCAAGTGGACACGAGGCAATCGAGCAGGGCTCCCGTGAGGGGCCGAGGTTTCTGTCCCCACAACACTGTCCTCATTAAAGGGTTGCATCTGAGCCCTGCACCCCAAAAAATGAGTCAGGTTGAGGAAGGCGTCGCGGGCATCCAAAATTCATCACGATAGACGATACCTCCAACCCGAGAGCCCCTACTGCTCCAACTAGAACTTGAGGGCCGAAAGTGGACACATCCTGGAGCTGCTAGGGGCAGCAGGATGTACCTGGGGAGAAGGGGGGGGCGCTTGGTCTGATGACCCAAAGCCCAGTGGAGAGAGTGAGGGGGACCGCGCGGGGAGACAGGACAGATGCCTCCAGAGGGTTTCCTGCAGTAGCAGGAGCCGGGGAACTTGACTTTCATGGCTGTTTCTCTTTTGCTAGCTCCGGCTTCCCAGGACTGTGCTGCGAGGAGGGCATGACCAAGTTCCAGGTGAGTTGGGGTTTCTCCTCTGAAAATGCTGTCTCCCTGAGAATGCAAGTAACCTTTCTTTCCTGGGACCCAGGAAGGGCATCAGCATTAATGGACATCAGATGTCAGGTCCTGTCTTTGTTCTGTGTGTCATTTTTCCCTTTATTGTCGGACTCCAGTGTGAGACATACGGTATTTTATAGATATGGGTGTAGCAACATTGATATCCTAAGGCAGTGGTCGGCAAACTCATTAGTCATCAGAGCCAAATATCAACAGTACGACGATTGAAATTTCTTTTGAGAGCCAAATTTTTTAAACTTAAACTATATAGGTAGGTACATTGTTATTAACTTAATTAGGGTGCTCCTAAGCTGGCCTTTGCTAAAAACGTCCTCAATCTGATTGAGGTTCGTTCGCTGAGGTCGACCCCTTCCAACTCTCCCATCCACACTTGTCTTGTATACTTGTTTCGTCTATCTCCTTTTGTTCATCCTCTCTATATGTCCAAACCATCTCAACATACCTAACCACTGCACAATGAGACTGCTGACTGACTGGCTCACTCAACTTGTGCATGAATCACGCGCGCCTCACCCGTGCTGCGTCTCCTGTCGCCCGACCAACTTCTTCTAATGCCACTTCTTCAAAATAGACTCGCCCAGGCCGAAAACCGACTTTGGCACAAAGGCCACGAAGTTTCAATCTCACTGTACTGAGCCACACTCAAGGGGCCAAAGAGCCGCATATGGCTCACGAGCCGCGGTTTGCCGACCACTGTCCTAAAGGCATGGACTAAGGCATCCAGACATCAGTTGCACAGGTCTCCGCTGCCTTTAAATTACACACCAGTTTTCACTGAGCTGCCCTCTTCCTGAACTTGGCTCCCTCCCCAGAGCACTGGGCTCTGCTCTTATATTGAAAGACCACACAGCATCTTTGCTTGGTCATCTCTGATAAAGCCTGTCTTTTCCTGTAGACACTTCACTCATATTGAGTCATTCAAAGCTATTACGTGGTCAGTTCTTTGCTAAGTGGTCGCAGGAAAACCCACTGACTCCCAGAAATGCTCGTCAACTAGGCTGTGTATTAGAATTATTTGTAGTGTTTTTTAAGAGTTAAGGTTCCTAGGTACCACCACTCCCAGACCTACTAAAAAGAGAATTTCACTTTTTTTGTCTCCTCGATCTTTGTACATCCATTAATTTGTTGCATTTATTGTCAGATATTTCTCTACTTGCTCGATGTGAGCTTCTCTAAGACAGGTAAAAGGTCCATCTTTTATGTTCCGATTGCTTACCAACATATCTACATGTTTAAGTGGTACAATAAATTGTTAAATTACCAATTAGCACTTCTTTAAAAAATCGATTTTTCATTTGTCTCCATAAAACCATTTCTAGAAAGTTACCTCAAGATTGGCACTTAGAATCGTAGAATGCTTTCGATGGCAGGGTCGGCCAGCCCCTCTGCCTTGGTGCCATCACTTAACCGAGGAGACTGCTGATTCTGAGGGAGCCGGAAGGAAGCTCCAGGACCTGGTGGCAGAGAGCAGCAGAGCAGGAGGGAAGCCCCATGTTTTCTAACTCCAGGTCGTTTCTTCGCTATAACTGAACAGGTCATGACACCAGAAACTATGTGAACAAAATATCAGGCTGAATTTTAAGGAAAAAATAATTGGTTCTTAACCAAGACCATCTTTTTGCTTAGCGAACACAATCCCCCATACATAGGAAGTGACCGTGAACTCCTATAACAATTGGTTTGGCCCGGCTGGTGTGGTTCAGTGGTTGAGCATCGACCTATGAACCAGGAGGTCGGGGTTTGATTCCCGGTCAGGTCACATGCCTGGGTTGCAGGCTCGATCCCCAGTGTGGGGCCTGCAGGAGGCAGCTGGTCAATTATTATCTCTCATCATTGATTTCTATCTCTCTGAATCTCTCTCCCTTCATCTCTGAAATTAATTTTAAAAAAATTTTTTTAATTGGTTTGTTTAAAGGACAGTAAACGGCCTCAGGTACTGAGAGCATGCCATCACTGTGCCTTGAAAGGTGATTGAGGACTTCAAGGGAGCTTAGCATGAGTAGGAAGACGCAGTGTGTCTATATTTTCCTTCCTTCTCTTTTACCTGTTTCCAAGTGAAGATTATTTTTTCACTGCCGATGAAATTGTGGATTGCTAGTGTAATAAATTTTGAGGTTCTGGTGTATATTAATAACTGAATTTAAAGAAGGGACTTCATCCCACCAATACTTGCGGAATGTTTTTATTTACCAGGCATTGTCCTGAGTCTGCTGAGAGGCAGCAGTTGCCATTTAACCATCCCTTCCTCTGTGACTTGGGTAAGTCACTTCACCACTATGAACCTTAGTTTTCTCATCTGAAAATGAGAGTGTTGAATTTGATGCGCTCGCGGTTTACTTGTAGCATTTGATTATTCTTTTAAATTGAATGTAAATTTATAAATACCATTTAGATTCTGAGCTTGTTGTGCTAGTTGTTGAGAATTTAAAGATTAGTTGAGCATGGCTCCTATCCTTTAAAATCTTATAGCCAATTTGGGAGACAGTCTTAATAGCTATAGTAGATGTATATGAAAGATGCTATGAGATGTTGGAGGAGGATGCACCTAACTCATCCTCATGCTTCAGAAAGGAGGTTGTTGATTGTCCTGAAACTGAAAGTAATTCCGAAATGGATGAGAGAAATAGAAGTCAGAGCAGAAGCAAGGTGTAAACAGCTATTCTAGACTAGAGTATGACATTTAGATGACTACAGATAATCCAGTGTGACTACAGCTCCTGGCCACCTCCTGCATTAATGTTTCCTGCCCCTCCAAAGTAAATTGTTGGACCCAGCTAGGAAGGGCTCTGGAAAGAAAGTAAAAAGCCATGTGATGTGTGTAGTTTGGGGGAGTTCAGCATTTTTGGTGGGCGGTGGGGTGGTGGGAGGGACAAGAAACTACTAGTCCTGTGACCTTCCACCTGGGTTGGCCCTCAGGACACTGAGTCCACTTTCCCAGAGTAAGCACGAGGTCCACCTGGGTGACCCATGCACTCCACTGATACCGGGGAGACTGTTCATTATTCAGGGTCTTTTAGTTCCAACTTTGTCTTCTTTAGCAGGACCACTGTTTTCTTCCTCTGATTCCTTTCATTTGGTCCACTGTCATACCATTCCTCATCTTCGAATTTTCAACCTGCTACAAAGTTTATATAGTCCATCAACACAACCTTTTCATTCTCAGCACAAAATTCTCTCCACCACTTTGTGGGATTTTTAAAAATTACTAAATCTGACTATCTAATCTATGAATTGAAAAACGGCAGAACTTGTACTTGAAGACTTGGTAAGGAATTCTTGTGGTCTAGGTAAGAAATGAAGGCCTTACCTAGGACAGTGGCAGTGGGAGTAAAGAATAGGTAACACGTTGCATGGAGATTTAGGAGACAGCACTGACAAGATCTGAAGTTACCTGAATATTGTTGAGGTAGGGAGGGTGTCTTAGACAACCCAGACAACGGGGTGGGAAATGAATAAAATATAAAAGGGAAAAAGATAACTGATGGACTTGAATCTCAGACGGGAAGCAAGGATTTGATCTGAAATGCATAGGAAGAAGTTAGCGTTGGACAGAAAGAAACCTTTTTCTCTTGAGGCCAAGAAGTCTGGTTGAAAAAGTGGCAAATCCAACCGCTTGATATTCACCTGGCCCTGTTGTGAGAAAGGGTACATTTATGTCCCTCTTGGGCAACACCTCCACTTCCATTTCTTCTTTGTCCCGCCTTTTTGCAGGGACTTGCAGGCTGCGCTAGCCCTTCCTCAGACACAGTGGAGACCTGTGACCTTGAGGACAAACTGCCGTTTGCCTCACTGTCACCTTCTCCACTGGTGACTAGTAGTCAGGTCATTCCTGGGGGGTAGGAGGGAAGGGCTGGTTGTCCTCAATTTCCTGAGGAAGGAGTAGGTGGTGCCCCTTCAGCCTCAGTTCTAAGATGTGACCCTTCTGAAGGTTACTGGGCATTTCCCTCGCTCAGAGTTGAGTTGCTCCTTTGGGCTTCACTTGGCTCTCGGTTGTTTTGTGTATATTCTGTCCTCTGCTTTTCAGCATGTGGCCTGTAGACTGCTGGCAGCCCAGTTAGTTACGGGTATACAAAGATATAGTGTTGCCGGTGGAAACAGGATTCTTTCACGGAGTCGCAAGAAATGCATTTCGGGGACCCATGCACAGGACTTGAGTGTAGTGTCATATTTATTGGAGTGAAACAAAGGACTGCCCCCAGGTGGCTCAGGTCCATCTCCCTGCAAAAGAAGTCCTGGGCCTGGTGAGCACAAGTGCCCACCAGGAGGGCTCAGGACCCAGAACTGCAGTGTCGTCACCCTGGGCTCCAACTAGTCTAGCGCAGTCTTTGTTCCCGGCTGCACTTGCCTGTGTCTCATTTCCCCATCTGCACATCTGCCGCCAGTGCTCAATGGTGCCGGGCCACGACCCAGTGCTGAGTTCCAGCTCACCCGCAGCTGCTAATAGGGGAGAGAGCGCTCCAATGCACAAACAGTGAACCGCTGGCCTTTGTTAAGTTTCCCCTTGGGTTTGGGAGAGAATAGGCTTTCTTTCAAACTAAACAATCGCCTTCCTAATTCTTCACGGGCTTGTGCTGGACCCTCCCCTAACCAATCCCTTTCCTGGATCTTCTGGGGTTCCACGCCCTTATTCTGTCTGATCCTTTTCCCAGACTAGACACCTCCCCTTTATGTTTGCCATTTTGGCTTCTACTGCACATGCCTCAGCAGAGGAATTTCCCCTTTACTATTTCTCCCTGCCCCTAGTAATCCGGGGGAGCCCCTGACTGGTCCCTGGGGAGATAGGAGGGCAGTCCTTCCTCCCTACTCAGGGGGAGGAAGGGATGTTAATCCCCTTGGGGAGGGGGAGGTGATGCAGCTATCATCCCCTGGAGTGTCTGGAACCTGTAGCTTCCTAGTCGATCAGACTCAGCCAGTTTAGCTCCCTTCTCTTTTGTCAGTAATTGACCAGCTGCCTACCCTAACATAAGGACAAAGATTGAGTGTTTGAAACCTTTATATCTTAAATCTAATACTTTTAAAAATTGGTGTTGGTATTTTATATCTTTTTTATTGTATTTTACAAACTATGAGTCTGTGACACATGAGAAACTTACCAGAGGCAGTTTGAAAATGTTGTCCATTGAAGAAACCCTGAGGAGCCAGATTCACTGTAAAGTTAACTCCTCTTAGGTGCCAGGCCCCATGTGAGGCCTTCAGGACACAGCTATGAACAAATCAGACAGCCTCTCTGTTCTTAGGGAACTTACATCTTAATGGGGAGAGATAGACAGTAAATAAGAAAACAAATGAGTAAGAAAATGAGATAAGGCATAAGAATACAGGGAGAAGTGATAGTTTGGGGGCATATCTGGTATTTTTGATATAGACATCTTTGCCACAAGCATTTTCATGCCTAAGTAATTAGCAATTAGTAATGGCAATTTTTCCATTAAAATAAAAATCACAAAAAAATAAAAGTGGCACTAAAAAGGGCATAAAACTTAAAAGATGTATTTGAAATGCAAAATATTCAAATACATTTTAAAATATGTGTAGGTTCATGGGAATACTGCTCAAATAACTGATTTTATTTTGTGGATTGTACCTTAGCATTGTTTTTATGCTGTGAGAAATGTGGGTTTAACTCTGAGCCTTCAACAAGGCCCTTGTAATGTGTTTAAAAAAGAAATCATGGCCCTGGCTGGATAGCTCAGTTGGTTAGAGCGTTGTCCTGGTACACCAAGGTTGTGGGTTTGATCCCTGGTCAGGGCACATACAGAAATCAATCAGTGAACTCATAAATAAGTGGAACAACAAATCAGTGTTTCTCTCCCTCCCGCTTCTTCTCTCTCTCTCTCTAAAAATCAGTTTCAAAAAATAAGAAATAAACTGTTGGGCCCAATCATTGTTATCGGGAAGAAATGCTCACTGCTTTAAGAGCACCACCACGTCTACTTGTCACTGTACAGACCATTATGACGACTAGCTCAGATTCACATATAATACAAAAATGGGAGTAACTGAGAATTTTGTCAATTAAGAAATGAAATCAAACTGACAACTTGCTTAAATACATTAAGTCTGCTGAAGGTTGTTGATTTGTTGTGGAGAAGTGAAAAGAAACAAAAAACAGTTAACCAGTTCTTTTATCTTTTCTACAGCAGTTAATTGATTTATCAATAGAGAAATGAAATCAAATAAACCAAAAAAATTGAACTGTCAACCAGTTTTGTTTTGTGTGGGGTTTTTTTAATACATTTTTATTGATTTTTTTACAGAGAGGAGGGGAGAGGGATAGAGAGTTAGAAACATTGATGAGAGAGAAACACCGATCAGCTGCCTCCTGCACACCCCCTACTGGGGATCATGCCCACAACCAAGGTACATGCCCTTGACCAGATTCAAACCTAGGACCCTTCAGTCCGTGTGGGCCCACACTCTATCCACTGAGCCAAACCAGTTAGGGCTGTTTTGTTTGTATAGCAGAATTGCCTTACAGCAAGTGAGTTAGCAGGGATAATGTTTGCAATAAAAATGCTTGTGGAAAAGATGCTATGCAAAACTACCTAGAACAGGTGTTTTTTTATTCGTTTGATTTTTTGTGCGACTGTGGATTATGGTCAAGGAAATGCTTCTCAGAGGAGATGGCAATTCAGCTGAGACCTGAATAAGGAACCAGGCATGTGAAAGATGTGGGAAAAACATTCTGAGCAGAGAGGACAATAGTGCAGATTCCCTAAGTTGGGATGTTTGATGTGGTCTAGGATCAGCCTAGTGACACACAGGAGGGAGGAGTGACTCTAAGCTGGAGAATTGACAAGACCTCAGTCTGTAAAGCCTGGCAGACCAGAGGAAGAGTTGATTTTACTCGATGTCCATTGAAAAGTTTTTGGAGGATTTCATGCCTGACATGGTGTATGTTTTAAAAGATCACCCTGGCCCTAGCTCATTTGGCTCAGTGGAGGAGCGTCGGCATGCAGACTGAGGGTCCCGGGTTCGATTCCAGTCAAGGGCATGTACCTTGGTTGAGGGCATGCTCCCCAGTAGAGGGTGTGCAGGAGGCAACTGATCGGTAATTCTCTCTCATCATTGATGTTTCTATCTCTCCCTCTCCCTTCGTCTCTGAAATCAATAAAAATATCTATTTTTTTAAAAAGATCACCCTGGCTACCATGTGGGAAATTCATTGTGTGGGGGAGCAAGAGATACATATCAGGAGGTGGAGAGTTAAGGAGACCTGTGACTCGCAATGCTAATAGTGCAAGATAGAAGTGGGTAGATTCAGGTATGTTTTAGAGGTGGAGTTGATAGGACTTGGTGATTGATAAAATGTGAGGAAGAGAGAAAAGAATCAAAATGACTTCTAGGATGTGGGCTTGAGTAATTGGGTGGGTCATGTGACATTTACTAAAATGGGCACAACTAGGAAAGAGCAGATTTTGGTTTTTTTCTCAGTTGAAAAAATGCAGATTTTGGTTTTAGGCAGTTCCACCAACCAGAGTTTAACATTTCTGTTCAGGACTATCTACAAGCTGGTTATGAAAAATATATGCAAACTCCCAGAACACACAGAGGAACCAATCAAACCTGCACCCACATGCACAGGAGCCTAAGCCTCCAGCTTTGGGGAGGTGAGGATGGAGGGCTGCAGTCTGTGCCCTGGTTGTGAATGGGGCCCAGACAAGGAGATTGGGTTCATAGTTTGTGATCCAGGTGATGTGTGGGGGTCGGTTGGGTCATAGGAACGCGCCCAGGGGCTGTGGTCCAGGTCCTGGTTGTGTGTAGGATGGATAGGGTCAGGGTCCTTACTGGGTCCTATTTGTGGGTAGGACGAAGACCTGGAGTCCTGGATCACGGGTTGGGGTCCAGGTCCCTGGGGCTCAGGCCCCCACTCACTCATGCGGGAACTACAGCACAGCGCCCTGTGCTCCCCCACCCTCCCTTCCACAAACACACCATTCTTGACGAAGCAGCTCAACACCCAGCCATTGCCCCCCCCTTGGGGCTTGAAGATCTCCAGGCACGGCAAGATGAAGCTCGAGAGGACCAAGCTCACATCCACCGAGCCATGTGACCAGTTGCAGCTGATGGTCACGAAGCACTTCATCAGGTGCTCGAACTCTCAAGGTGTGCCATGAGGCCCACCCACCGCCTAGGGCCTGCATGACCTGGACTCGTCCAGCGGGAGCTGAGGCCAGGCCACTGGCCGGCAAGCAAGGAGTGGCAGCCGAGAAGAGCAGATATGGATGGATATTGAGAGGAAGAGGTCTGCTGAGGCTTACTAAGTTTTAAGGGCCTTTTAGATACCCAAGTGTAGATGTTAGGTGGAAAGTTGGAGCCTGGAGTTAAGGAGGAAGGAGATAGAGATAAGTTTGCAAATACCTAGAGAGTGTGTTATGGTTGTATGTATATGTGCTATTTTATTTTTTCCAATAATGTTCAAGTACTTGGTTTAGAAGAAGAAAGGACATAGGATTGATATAGTCTTTGTTTATCCTTTTATTTTTTAACAGTCCTGAATCATTTTGTTTTAAATATGTCTCTTGCTTTCAGCATATTTGTTTTTCCTTTGCAATCCTATATGAAAATATTTTTTGAGTTGAGTTTATTTATTAAACACTAGAGGCCCAGTGCAT